AACTTCAGTGTGGTGGTGTACAGAGGCCAAATGCCAAAACAGTTATCCTTGTTCCAAGTATTTCTGGTCCTGACTGTATTTTTAAATTCTCTCTCCTTCTAACACATACTGTATATATCATGCAGGGTAGTGTACAACACTTAAAATTGGTACCAATTCAATTATAAATGCTGGAAAGTCCAAAAACACAAACTTTCCAATAAAAATTGTAAAACAGCAAAAGCAAGACACAGAATCTTCTGAAAGGCACGTTGTCAGGAAAGGATGCTATGCCAAAAGAAAGGTTTTGACCCCTTGGAAACCAGTAGCAGAGAGAATGCTGTCTGGGCTGCCTGTGGTAGAGGATTCCCAAATTTACATGTGGCGGCTAAGAAGGCCTTTCTTTTCTCCTAAAACCTGTGCCCCTCACAGCTGGGAGAAGGCCCTTTTCCAGCAGATTTTGGGGAGGAAGGAGGCAGACCCTGAGCTCTTCCTCCCCACTTTGAGTTGGGCCCAGAAACTAGAGCGAGTTTTGTGTGTTGAGTACCTGCAAGTATCTTCCAGTATTCTCTCGGTGGCAGGTAAGGTGGCCCTGTGCAGAGAACTGCTAAGTCATCCAGTCTGGATGCAACAGAGGAACAAAGATGGCAAACCAGCTTAAAGTGGGGAACACACCACCACTTCAGCTGCAAAGCTGAATCCAGAAGTGCTCCAAATGGCAAGGTCTTTGGGGAATGACATTTCCAAACACGCTGAAGCCTGCTCCAGAGTCCATCTAGTTTCTGACCAGATGCACCTCTGGCGTGCCTGGAGTAAGTTTTGATTTGTTGGGCCTCATCCTCCAGCTCATGACTGTCAGGAGTCACTGATTCAGGACATCAACAATGGCCCCAGGAGTGCATGGAAATGTGAAACATCTGCATGGCATCTACAGAAAACAGTGCACTCCTGAGGATCCTTCCCAGGAGTTCCACGTAGCTGTTAGATAAGATCAAATGGAGAAATGCCATGTACCGGTGTCCAGGACACTTAAGACAACTTCTTGGAATCACCCTCTGGAACTGACATAAAAGGAAGTACTAGAACTGCCAAAAACTGCCTTCCAGCCCCATGTCTGACTGGTGGTGAACCTCAGTGACAATTAAATGCCCTTGGGGTGTCCAGCAGAAACAACAGGGATGTACTCTGTTTTCCAGTGTAGCTCAGGGCAACCAGGGCCAGACTGAAATGGACCTAGATAGTCCATCTCATCCAAGTACTAACAGAACTGGGATGTTACCACTCAGCAAATTGCTGAAGAGTAGGAAAGTGAAACTGGAAATTGTGCACCATGATGAGTTTCTGAGGTGGATTCTTCAATAAATGTTGTATGACGGTTGTCATAAAATGGCTGGATGAGACCCCTGAAGCCCTGAGCACACTACCTGCTCAACCAGACCTTCCCCAGTTGCCTTACTGTACTTAGGAAGGGCAAGAAACAACTATGCAGGTGGTTGGTCTCACACTAACATGAATCTAGTCCACCACCCAAGGCTGAATGAATGGAAACAGTCTTAAAACAAGGACAACTAACATCTTAGGTTCAATTTTTGGATCTTCTCTAATCTTGGAATCCAAGTGGGAAATACCAGCAATTTCATCCACAAAGTATCTAGCAAACATGGTACAGCAAGCCACTGAGTTGAATTCCTATCCTTTTTCAGGCCCTTGGTGTCAGTGACCTCTTACAACTCAGGGTACTTGTGCGGTCGCAGCAGTAGAAGCAAAGGACGTAGCGTAGACCTGAGCTGGAGGGAGCTCTATGTTTGATCAACTCATCCAGGTCCGTCTTCTGCCCTTCAGCTTGCTGTCGGTCCTTCTGTGCTGTTGCCCTGAACTGCCTTTCGGCTCCATCAACAGAGGAAGGGGGGCTTGGAAGTACTTGGGTCAGCTGCTAGAGGTGATACCCATCCTAGAGATCAAGTGAGACATCAACAGAGCCCCCAGTTGAAGGGAAAGGAAATTGCAAAGCTGAGAGGTTCAACCTTTCCAATAAATGTCCCACTCTGCAGGGGTTACTGCGAAGAGAGATCTCTTTGGAAAAGACCCTGATGCTGGGAAAGATTGAAGGCAAAAGGAG